CAAAGACCCATTTATATCCCACTGGTTTAACATCAAAAGGGGTCACAATTATTGGACCAAAAACATTTCTTTTCCTTAAAGAATTTAACTCCACGTTTATAACTTCTTTCCATTTAATCTAATATGATCGTTGAGTGCACTCTAAGATAGACAAGGGTTCATGATCCTCGTTTATATCCATGAGTTCAAGTGCTACTTGGTATGCAAATATATCATCAATGTCGACATTCTTTTTGTTCCATTGTATTCCCGTCATGACATAATTGATTGAGATCCATCATTATCAGGACCTTCAGTACCTTGAAGCTTGGCGTCCCAAGCCTCATTATTTGGTAAATTAGGTTCGTCCATATCTATGGTTTCCTTAGCCTCGGGTTCATTCTCAGCAACTTTCTTTGTTTTCCGAGGGTTCTTATCTTTGGAACCTATTGGTCTACCACGTTTCATACGTGTTCTAGACTCTGTAGCAACTTGACCGTGTCCTTCTTGGACATCAATACGAATTGGTGCATTCGCAGCTAATATGTATGACTTTATTACTCTCTACGGGTCAGCAAAAGAGTCTGGCAACTGATTTGCTAGTTTTGTAAATGTATTATCTTTTGGACTTCTAAATCACATTCCTAAGTCCGAGGATCTATCCAGGACAAAGATGTTTAATTCCATATAATTTCTTTTACCAGTTTATTATTATCTCCCCCTAATGTTGGATGATTGGATTCGTTAAAGTGACAATTTGCGTACATGGCCTTAAACATATCACCCGTGGTTGGCTCAAGGTACTTAAGTATTGTGGGAGAGTCATATCCAACATATATCCGCATCCTCCTTTGAGGAACTATCTTGTTCTCTTTGGTGGTGCAATTGGAACATAAACGGCACATCCAAATGTCTTAAGATGGGATATGCCTGGCTCGTGACCATAAGCAATTGTGATGGGGAATATCTATGCTCACTAGATGGCCTGATGCGAATTAATTCAGCTGCATTTAAAACTGCATGTCCCCAAGCTGAGACCGGGAGTTTTGATCTCATAAGTAATGGTCTAGCAATTAACTGTATGCGTTTAATAAAGGATTTGACCAAACCGTTTTGTGCATGTACATGTGCCACATAATGTTCTACGCTTACCCCCATGGACATACAATAATTATTAAATGCTTGGGACGTGAATTCACCAGCATTATCTAGACATATAGTCTTTAAAGGAAAACCTGGAAAGTGAGCTCTTAAACGGATTATATGAGCAAGTAACCTCGCAAACGCCAAGTTGCGGGTTGATAATAGACATTCATGCGACCATATTGTGGACGCATCAATGAGAACCATAAAGTAACTAAACGTCCCACAAGGTGGGTGTATTGTTCCACATATGTCACCTTGTATTCTTTTCAGAAAGTTTATTGTTTCCTTAGTCACTTTAACTGGTGATGGCCTAACAATGAGTTTCCCTTGTGAAGATGCTACACACATGAGATTCTTAGGGATAACTCTTCTTTCATAACATTAGTTGGTTTTTGGCTTTTAGGGGGTTGTGTATTCAAGTGAGAGTTTCGAATTTTAGGTGATATGTCTTAAAATGACAAATACACTTTTATTAAATCATAAATTTAAAAAATTCATTTAAAATCCACTGTTATTGAACTTGATACTTCATAAACTACTCCAGAATCCACTATTATTGAAAATATTTTAAGTTGTTGAATTTTAAAGATAGTTTTTTCGTTAAAAATAATTAAAACTCAAAGCTCATTTTGTGGTGATTTTCTAAGAGTGGTTTAATAAAAATCACTTTAACTTCTGTAATTCATGAAATTATTTGAAACCTCATTAATAATCAAATCATCTTAAACTTGAGATTGGATACACCTTCCTTAGATTCTGGTTTTTGAATTTTAGATTTTAGTTTCTTGATTTTAATTTTAACATTAACTTTAGTTTTTTGAAAATTTTGAAAGGATGGTTTAGATTTTAGTTTTCGTTTTCAGAATTAAATAAATGACTAATAATAAAATAGTTCTTTTATAAGCAATGGATACTAAGAGCATCATTAACTAAGGCTCTTAGAGCATTCGCAATGGTGATACTCCATTGGAGTCTTTAGAAAAAATGTTTTTATAATTTTCTAATTATTATTATTATTTCCTCAGATTAAAAAATACTAACGAATCATGGGTTATCACGTGTCGTGGAGACCCGCAAATAATGTAAGAATTCACTAAAAAAAAATTATTTAAAGATTTTAAGGATTGAATCCTTAGCTTTTGGTGGAATTCTTTTATTATTTAACTAGTTTTTTTTGTCTAAAGATTTCTCCTTGTAGATTACCATTGCGGATGCTTTTAGATGGATCCTTTAACATAATTTCGCTTTTCAAAAGAAAAATTGTAATTAACAAAAGAAACACCTCCTACTCTCTTCCTCTATCTCTTCATCTCCTTGCCTCTACCGTCTCCCTCTCCCTCCCTCTCTCTCTCTCTCTCTCTCTCTCTCTCTCTCTCTCTCTCTCTCTCTCTCTCTCTCTCTCTCTCTCTCTCTC